TATATTTCATGTCTCAACACCCTGTAGATGTCTTTATGTCCTAGGTTATTTTAAACCCTTTTATTGTCACTTGCTAAAGTTATACACCGAACGGCATGACCATAAGTGTAACAGCGGGAAGTCATCCTAAGACAAGTGGTTGTGCCCCTTTTTGTAGATATTTCTGTTTAGGTACCTAGATTTAAGTTCTGTAGGATTCGAAGAGTGTGATTTTGACACCCCGACATGACAACCTCGAATTCTCTATAGTCCAGTATAGATTTCGTTAATAAAGTAATTGTTAAGTTCACTCTGCCGACTTTTATTCCGACAATCATCAACGCAAAAACATTTAATGGTCCTTCGAGCCGGATAGCGTCGAATCGGAGTAAAAATAAAATAAATAATTATCCGTGAAAACTAACAAAGTCGAAATCATCAATCGCTTAAAGGTTATCGTGTGTGTACAAAGGTTTATCAGCAGTGACTTGATGCGAGAGCAGTAATCAAGCAATCCAAGCATCCCGAGCATTACACACGATCGCAGGTAGGATAATACGCAATCGCTTCCCACCTGGACTCGAGGAAAACGAAGTCTGAGGACAGCAAATACATAACTGCAACACAATTCACAAATCATAAGGTGAGATCGTTCCTTCCACACATTCATTAGCGATAATTGTTGTTGTCTTAAGTTTCGGGTTTTGATGGAGAATTCTCTAAAGCTAAGGTTGTGCAGTCAATTTATATCGTCATACCATAATAATTTCCAAGTTAATCGTCATACAATTCATACATTTATTCATTTCACTTACAGTATCTTCATTATTATATTATTCATTATCATTACTCTCAAGGGATCAAAATGGCAGATGTTACGTCACTTTCTTTAGAAGAGTTAAAAAGAAAACGTGGTGGAATTAAAGCTAAGGTCACAAATTATGGGAAGTTTTCAGCAAACATTTAAGGCGCACCAGAGATTCTGGATGAGGTAGGCATTTTGGGTCTGCAAGAAATGTTTTAAATCATTCAAAAAACATCATTTTTGAGTTTGAAAATGTACAGAGTTTAATTGAGGAAAAAACAACTGATGAAGATTTAATACAACTTGAATATGCAGAGCGCGAGGCATTTGAATCAAATTTTCATACGCAAATGGCAATAGCCAAGGGTATTATAAAAAATTTTACAATAACTTCGGACAATGACAAACTCCAATTCCATGGTTAGCAATTCACGCGAACCTAACAATGTTAAACTTGCAGGCATAAAATTGAAACCTTTCGAAATTCTTAAATTCAATGGTTCTTATCAAAACTGGTTAGAGTTTGCTGATTTATTCGAATCATTAGTGCATAGAAATGAAGCTTTGGACAATATCCAAAAATTTCATTACTTAAGATCCTCGTTAGAAGCGGGTGCTGCGCAAGTTATCCGTTCAATTGAATTTACAAACAACAACTATGTTGTAGCTTGGAAGCTCATTCGCGAAAGATACGACAATAAACGCCTATTAGTATTCAACCATGTAAAATCCCTTTTTAATTTGAAAATCATGCATAAAGAATCGTCACATAAATTACGCAATCTAATCGACACATATTCCAAACATTTACATTCTCTCCAACAAATGGGACAACAAATCGATCACTGGGACGTGTTACTTATTCACATTGTAACAACCAAATTAGATTCATCCACTTTGCGCAAGTGGGAAAACGCAAAAGCAAATGCCAATAAAGAAATACCTTCATTTAGTGATCTTAAGACCTTTTTGAAGGCACGCGCCGATTTATTAGTGACTTTACAAACTAATCAAGCTGAAAAAAGGGCTCATCACAACACTTCATCTAACAATAATTCGCGAACAGGCACATACAGTCATACGCGCGGGTATTATTCATCACATCACGCATCAAACTATTCAAACAAGCACACGTCAAACCAAAATAAAACTCACAGTAAGTCATATCAAAACCCACAGTGTTCCATATGTAAAACCGAATTTATGAGTTTATCTAATGAAAAATTAGAAAGGGCTGAAAACGCGTCATTATGCATCAATTGTTTAAAGTCTAGCCACGACAATAAAAATTGTCGTCACACTACTTCCTGTAAGTCATGCAATGGACGGCATCACACATTGGTACATACCAATCGTGCTCAAGGCATTGAGCGCTCACGGGAAATTAATTCTAATTCTGTCGCTTCAAACCCCATCGAAACGTCTACTTCGTTAACAAGTTGCTCATTCCCTAACGTCGCGGTATCGGGCCAGGTAGTCTTATCAACCGCTCTAATAAACATTTATGACAAATACAACAAAACACATACAGCAAGAGCACTTTTAGATAGCGGTTCTCAAAGTTCATTTATATCCTCTGAATTGCATAAGAAATTAGGCCTTCCAACAGATCAGGTTAATTGGACAGTGTCCGGCATAATGAATACTTCTTGCAAATTAGAAAAGAGATGCCATTTAAAAATATCCTCCAAAATAAACAATTTTCAGGCACGTCTACAGTGCTTTGTTGTTCCTGAAATTTCGGGTTCTATACCTGCCATACCCTTAAACGTACAACACTTAAACGTTCCAGAGCATTTACCGCTGGCCGACCACATGTTTTTTAAACCCCAAACTGTTGATATTCTTATTGGTAGTGACTTATTTTGGAGCCTTTTGTGTTAGAAAACTTTCACTTTGGGTAAAAATAAGCCGATAATATACCAAACAGTATTTGGTTGGGTAATAGCAGGGCCGTACTTGACACCATTTCCAGCGCGTAACGAAATAAAATGCAATTTTTTAACGTCATCTGCCGAAGCTCAAGTTCAAAGGCAATTCGTACCACATTGCAAGAAAACGGTTTTTTAATTTAGAGAAAAAATTAGATTTAAATCCTAAAGTAAAACAACTTTACACTGATTTTATACATGAATACATCGATCTCGGACATATGCAACATGTAAATAATTTCGAACCTCTCAATGAGCTTCGCGAAAAATTTTATTTCATGCCCCATCATAGTGTTTTAAAAGAAAACTCATTAACTACGCGCCTCCGAGTGGTTTTCGATTGCTCCGCCGCAACATCCTCGGGATATTCCTCGAATGACTTACAAATGACTGGTTCCACCTTGCAGGACGACTTATTATTTATTTTATTAAGATTTCGATTACATACATACGTCGTAAGTGCGGACGTTGAGAAAATGTACTGCCAAATTTTGGTTCACGAGAACCAACGCTCTTTGCAATGCATTCTTTGGCGCGATTCTCCCGTAGAACCGTTAAAGGCCTTTAAGCTAACAACCGTCACATATGGCATGAAATGCTCCTGGTATCTCGCTATCAAATGTCTTCACACGTTAGGCTTGGACTATTCCAGTACTGATATTAATATTTCAAACATCATTCTCACTGATTTTTATGTGGACGATTTATTAACGGGGTTTGATTCAATCAATGAGGCTCAGGATGCATGTCATAAGATATCCAATGCACTAAAACAAGGTGGGTTTTGTCTAAGAAAGTTCTATTCTAATAACCCTGAAATTCTAAAAAATATTTGTGATGGTCCATCTGCAGCTACAATAATAAATTTCGGTGAGAACGAAAACTCCAAAACGCTCGGATTGACCTGGTCGCCTCATCAGGATTTATTACTTTATAGCATCAGTCCCTTAACTCAGTTTAAAGAAAGAGACAATAATAACAAAGCGTCGTATCTTGTCCGATATCTCACAAGTGTTTGACCCCCTAGGACGTGTCACTCCTTGTATAATTACTTTCAAAATAATTCTTCAAAATTTATGGCTTGAACAAATTTCCTGGGACGATCCGGTTCCAGTGCACATGAAAACATCATTTATAAATTTAAGACAAAAATTGCCAATTTTGAACAATCTTAAAATCGAGCGCCTGGTAAAATTACAAAATCCTACACATATTGAATTACACGGATTTGCAGACGCCATCGAAAAGGCTTATGGGGGGTGCGTCTACATCATATCCACTGATAAAAACAATAAAAGAAGTTCTCGCCTATTATGCGCAAAGAGTAAAGTCGCCCCACTGAAACCAATTACTATTTAATAATTGTTACTGTGGCGATTTGATAGTTTTTAAGAAAATAATTAATTTTTTAGAGTGAAGTATTGAGTGTGTGGTTGTGTATATTTTTTGGCATGTCTGTGAAAACTTTAGTACTTGTATTTGTGTGTTTGGTATTTCTGTATTGTTGTATTATTATTGTGTAAATATTCTTTTCTTATAATTCTATTTCTATACTTACTCTATTCTATACCTACTCTATACCTATTCTTTAGCTAAACGACTATTTAATTGCCTATGTACTTTCCTATCACCCTTTTAACAATTCAACTCTGTATACTAACTGCATGACGTCTATAATTCTACCTTTTCCTAATTGCAGTTTTATGGTCAGTTTCTTCGGTGATTTGGGGTCAAACTTAACTTCTCGGTATTTCTTCTAGACTAAATTTTCAGATTTTACTGGTATCTTATTGGTTCCCTACTTTAATTAACTTATTTCTAACTCCTCCTTATCATCCTTCTTACGATCTCTTTTCAAAAACTAAAATCAGTTCTGACTTATCCTTCCTAATTTAAACTTCACCATTCTACATTCTTAATTCTAGTCTTCATTTTTCGTTCTTGTTTATTAAGGTTTGTTATCGTTTACTCCGCATTCTATTATTTAACCACCTCAACATCAGAACACACAACGAGACCAAAGTGGTGACCCCGTAGTTTTTTTTGTGCGTCAGTGTTGTGTTAAGTCCTAACTGTTAATATTAGTGAGAGGTGACAGACAATTGTAAGTACTTTTTTGAGTAACATTTTAGTGTAACATCTTGTGCGGTAGATTTAAGTGTAAATAGACTAGATTTTAGTGACCGTAATTTAAGTGAAATGGCTTATTCAGAAGAACAATTAAACGTGCTGGAAAATGGCTTCGCAATTAGTCACGCTCGAACGATCCAGAACTATGGTTTTCGATGGTTGAAGAGAACTTTACAACAGCCGGAGTGACAAAGGATGCGACCAAATTTGGGTACATTACCGGAGTGTTAGAACCGCGGTATGCGTTAGAAGTGCGCGATATAATAGTGAACAAACCCACGACCAACGCGTACGGTGTGTTAAAATCTGAACTTATAAAACGCCTCAGCACGTCCCGAGAGCAAAAAACGCGGCGCCTGCTAGAATTGGAAGAAATGGGCGGCAGGAAGCCTTCCCAATTTCTGCGCCACTTGCAAACTCTCGCTGGTCCGACCGTTCCCGACACCATGCTGCGGACATTGTGGTTTGCCCGTCTTCCGCCCAATATGCAAGCTATCCTAGCAGCACATCGAGACTTATCTCTTGCCAAAATAGCCGAAGCGGAAGCAACCCCTTCAGCTGGTGATGTCCTAGCCGCTCAACTGCAACAATTAACGGTCACACTCCAACAGCAAATTTCATCCCTGCGCCAAGAAGTGTCGGAATTAAAAAGTGAGACCTGTTTCCGAGAAAGGTCACGCTCCCGTCCACGATCGAGATCCCGGAACCGCCACCATCCCGATGGACTCTGCTGGTATCATCATCGCAGATATAGTTCCCGCGCAAATAAATGTACACATCCCCGGTTACATGCATTTATGACAAATGCGTAACCAGGGAAACGCCAGCGGCAGTCGTTAATGGCGGCAAACGACAGCCAATTTAACATTTCACGCCGCATTTTTATCACCGACTCAGGCACGAACATGCAATTTTTGGTGGACACGGGCGCAGATCTTTGTGTATTTCCACGTTCCCAAGTACGTGGTCCTCGAGAAAAATCCTCATACGAGTTGTCTGCTGCGAATGGAACAACCCTCGCTACTTATGGTACCATTACGCTGACCCTCAACTTCGGACTTCGCCGGGACTTTTCCTGGAGTTTCGTGATAGCGGACGTGACTAAACCTATAATCGGTGTAGATTTTCTCGCATTTTACAATTTATTGGTAGATGCTAGAAATAAAAAACTCATCGATGGAACAACCCTTCTCACCGTTCAGGGACAAGCAGTGAAGGAGAAGGTGCAATCAGTCAAATTCATCACAGGATCCAGTCAGTTCCACGAAATCTTAACTAAATTCCCTGAAATCACTCGACCCAATGGCACCATCAATTAGCGGAAACATCAAACGCAACCCATATCCGAACAACACTAGGCTCACCAGTGTCCCACAAACCGAAACGATTAGCACCAGAGAAACTACAAGTGGCAAAACGGAAGTTCGAAGCCATGTTAAAATTCTCTCTCTCTCTCTCCCTGATAAAGTCGAGGTTATTCGATCGTTTCCGCCACCAGAGACGGTAAAGCAACTTCGGCAGTACCTAGGTATGTTAAATTTCTACAGACGTTTCATACCGAAGGCTGCCCAGATTCAAGCACCGTTGAACGATCTACTCCAAGGAAATTTGAAAGGAAAGACGCCTATCTCCTGGACACCGTCAGCGAAAACGGCATTCGAAGCTACCAAGAAAAGTTTGTCTCAAGCCACCATGGTATCTCATCCAATACCAAACGCTCCTTTGGCAGTTTTTTGTGATGCGTCCGATCTATTAGTTGGCGCGGCCCTACAACAGCGAGTCGACAATGCTTGGCAACCATTGGGATTCTTTTCCAGGAAACTTAACAGTGCTGAAAAGAAATATTCTGCGTATGACCGGGAGTTGTAGGCAATATACGAAGCCGTCAAATACTTCCGCTATCTGGTTGAAGGGAGAACATTCTCTATATACACAGACTACAAACCTATATTATTTGCCTTCAAGAAAAAAGACAGCCAGTGCACACCGCGACAGTTTAGATATCTGAACTTCATCGGATAATTTTCTACTAATATTCAGCACGTAGCAGGAGAAGACAATACCGTTGCAGATGCACTCTCGCGTATCGCAGTGGTAGAGCCAATTATCAACTTCAGCGAACTGGCAGCTGCTCAACTAAAGGACGAAGAATTGACGAAACTTCTACAGAGATCACCCAGTGGACTGCAGTTAAAGCTCGTCGAAATTCCAGGCTCAAAAACATCCTTGTACTGTCTACATGTAGAGTACGTCCCTTCGTGACATCACTATTTAGGCGTGCTATTTTTGACAAGTTGCATGGTCTCTCTCACCCTGGAATAAACGCGTCCGTCAAACTGGTATCCCAGCGTTTCGTATGGCCCTCGATCAAAAAGGATTGCCGAACATGGTCCCGAAATTGTCTGGAATGTCAACGCGCCAAAATAACTCGCCATGTGTCATCTCCTCCTGGAACCTTTGTCCTGCCGTCGAATAGGTTTGAGCACGTTCACATAGATATCGTCCTAATACCAATTTCCGAAGGCTACAGATATTGTTTAACGTGTGTGGACCGATTTTCCCGTTGGCCAGAAGCAATACCAATCGAGAACCAAGAAGCCGAAACAGTTGCCCGTGCCTTCTTCAGTAATTGGGTTTGAAGATTTGGCACCCCACTGCGAATAACTACCGACCAAGGCCGACAGTTTGAGTAACGTCTATTTAGGCGATTAAATAACCTATTAGGTATAACCTATTAGGTGTAACTCATTATCGAACAACCGCGTATCACCCGGCAGCCAATGGAATGGTGGAAAGGTTTCACAGGCAACTAAAGGCGGCAATCAAATGTCACGGGAATCCTTCCTGGACCGAAACCCTCCCCGCAGTTATGCTTGGTATCCGAGCAGCATGGAAGGATGATCTTCAAAGTACAATCGCTGAGATGGTCTATGGAGAACCGCTACGTTTACCAGGAGAGTTCATTACAGCATCACAGGAACCCGACGCTAATACTCAAGCCGACTTTGTCCAGAATTTGCGCCGACACACGCAGCTGTTACGCCCGACAGAGGGAACCAGGCATGGAAAGAAAACTCCTTTTGTATTCAAGGACCTTGCCACCACCGACTTAGTTTTCGTAAGGCGTGACGGACCAAAAGGACTTCTAGAACAACCCTACGAAGGTCCTTTCACGGTACGGAGAAGATCCGACAAAACATTCGTAGTTTTGATTCGTGGTCGCGAAGTCACGGTGTCTATAGACAGGTTGAAACCAGCATACCTGCAGCAGCAATCCGAAACACCTATCCAACCAAATGTAGTCCAAAACAAACAAACACATACCCGTTTTGGAAGACGTGTTCATTTCCCAGATCGTCTGCAATATACATGATTTGCGTGATGTTACTGGCAGGGGGGTGTTGTGGCGATTTGATAGTTTTTAAGAAAGTAATTAATTTTTTAGAGTAAGGTATTGAGTGTGTGGTTGTATATATTTTTTGGTATGTCTGTGAAATGCATGTATTTGTGTGTTTGGAATTTCTGTATTATTGTATTATTATTGTGTAAATATTCTTTTCTTATAATTCTATTTCTATACTTACTCTATTCTATACCTACTCTATACCTATTCTTCTAGCTAAACGACTATTTAATTGCCTATGTACTTTCCTATCACCCTTTTAACAATTCAACTCTGTATACTAACTGCATGACGTCTATAATTCTACCTTTTCCTAATTGCAGTTTTATGGTCAGTTTCTTCGGTGATTTGGGGTCAAACTTAACTTCTCGGTATTTCTTCTAGACTAAATTTTCAGATTTTACTGGTATCTTATTGGTTCCCTACTTTAATTAACTTATTTCTAACTCCTCCTTATCATCCTTCTTACGATCTCTTTTCAAAAACTAAAATCAGTTCTGACTTATCCTTCCTAATTTAAACTTCACCATTCTACATTCTTAATTCTAGTCTTCATTTTTCGTTCTTGTTTATTAAGGTTTGTTATCGTTTACTCCGCATTCTATTATTTAACCACCTCAACATCAGAACACACAACGAGACCAAATTACTTACATACGGACTCGTCCATAGTCCTATGCTGGCTAAAGAAGCTAGCAAATCAGCTTAAAACATTTGTTAGTAATCGGATTAACGAAATCCAAGAATCTATTTGCTATCAAGGGGCGTATCGCTTGAAAATTTGTTGGGTTGTAAACTATGGTGGCATGGTCCCGAATGGCTAACCAAGTCTCGTGAAAATTGGCCCCTTTTGGAACTTACACCGCTTAAAGAAATTCCAGATATAAAGAAATAAATATCATCTTTTATTTTGCATACAAANTCCAGATATATAGAAACAAGTATCATCATTTATTCTGCATACAAACTTATTTCTATTTCAAAACTTTTCAAATCTACTCAGACTAAAAAGAAGCTCCGCATATGTGTTGAGATTCATAAAAAATTGCAAGGTCAAAAAGGACCAACACAATTTAGGACCACTTCTAGTCTTTAATTACGTTTTGAAGGCGAAACCTTCGGCAACGAGATACAGCAATTGGCGGATAAAACCCCCCTTAAACGTTCAAGCAAAATGAAAAACTGAATTCTCAATTTTCTTACGACAAAAAACATCCAATCATTATTTCATCCAGTCACAAACTTACAAAACTTATTTTTCATTATTCACATCATAAAAAATTGTTTCATGCCGGTCCACAACTACTCTTGGCAGATGTTCGCGAAACCTATTCGCCAGTAGGGGGAAGAACTTAGCCAGGCGCACAGTTCATAATTGCAGAGTTTGCTTTCGAGCTAAAACCAAGAGGCATAGAGCCGATCATGGGAAATTTACCCTCGCAGCGCCTAATGCCAGGGCCACTTTTTACCGTAAACGGAGTTGACTATGCAGGTCCAAACCTGCTTCAAAACCGAAAGGGTCGCGGTTGTAAACTGACCAAAGGTTACATTTGCATTTTTATATACTTTAGTACTAAGGCTGTCCACATTGAGCTAGTTACCGATTTGTCGAAAGAAACATTTTTACTAGCATTAAAACGATTCATATCACGCAGGGGAAAACTCCAACAAATTTTTTCGGACAACGGTAAAAACTTTGTCTCATTTTAAGGAGCTAAGTTCATTCCTAAAATCAAACAAAAATGCCATTATTGAGTCATTGTCTAAAGACGAAATAGAATGGAAATTTTCACCTCCATACGCACCTCATTTCGGGGGTCTCTGGAAAGCGGGACTCAAACTAATCAAGCATCATCTTAAAAGAGTTTTATCAAACGCACACCTTACTTATGAATAATTTTATTCGTTATTAACCCAGAATGAGGCAATAATAAATTCGCGCCCGTTGACGCCGCTATAAACCGACCCCAACGATTACACCGTCTTAACACCAGCACATTTTCTTATTGGCCGCCCTATAACTACAACAGACGGAAACCAATTCACCGATATCCGGATAAATCGACTTACACTCTATTAGCTGACGCAATAACTATCGCAACATATGTGGGAACGTTGGAATAAAGAGTACATTTCGGAGCTGCAGAAAAGAACCAAATGGACCTCCAGCAATGGTGATAACGTTGTCGAAAACCAACTAGTACTAATCAAAGAGGACAATTTGCCGTCCATGAAGTGGAAGCTTGGCCAAATCACTGAAGTGATTTGTGGTCGCGATGGTGTAGCGCGAGTTTTCAAAGTGCAAACATCTAGTGGCGTCATAATACGATCCTTTTCTAAAATATGTTCATTAACAACGAACGATGACGAAATAAGAAAAGATACCAATTAATGAGCATTTGTATATATAAGTTAACGTTATAGGTTTAATTCAAATTTAGTAACGAGATGTTGAAATTTTATTAATAGTTTATGGTTTACATTTTCTTTTCATTTATCTTACATTGTGTCTATAGTTATAAGAAAGTCATAACCACTTTAATACACTCTTTTTTTATTATTTCGGCAATTTTGCCAAGGCCGGGGGCATGTTTACGCCCTGTAAATGTATATTTCATGTTTTAACACCCTGTAGATATTTTTGTCTTAGGTTACTTTAAACCCATTTATTGTCACTTGCTAAAGTTATACACCGAATGGCATGACCATAAATGGAACAGCGGGAAGTCATCCGAAGGCAAGTGGTTGTGCCCCTTTTTGTAGATATTTCTATTTAGGTACCTAGATTTAAGTTCTGTAAGCATTCGAAGAGTGTGATTTGACACCCCGACACGACAANATGATCAGTTTCAACGGTTATTCGTTTACTAAACACAAACTGATGGAATTTTTCCATTCCTACCACGATAGCCAAAAGTTCCTTTTCAATTTGTGCATAGCCGCACTGTGTTTCTGTGAACGCTCTAGAAGCATATGCACAAGGCAAGTTATTTTGCAATTAGTGATGGGCCAACTCGGAAAAAACCAAACTCGATTTGACCTGAGTTAAAATTCACGTAACTCCAGTTCAACTCGAGTTCAACTCGAGTTAACTGGATCAGAGAGTGAATGATTTTTTTTGATTTTTTACCAATTGAAGCCCTCAGATTTGCATAAATACTTTAAAAAATTGGAACAGACAAATTTTATTATGTTTTTATCTGTTTTAATTCTTTATTTTTTTATATTATTTATTCATAATGTATTGGAAGAGTTATACCTACTAACTAGAGAAACAAAAAAAGTTATTGTTTGAAATCGAATCATTTATTTAAGTATTTTTGGCTCGAATTTTAATTGAAAATAATATTTACTATCAATGAAACTATGAAATTATATAGCAGTCTTCTTAAAATAAAATCAGACTCACATTATGATGCAAGTATCTATGTACAGCCACAGATCAAAGTATACAAAACTGTCAAATTTCTTCAATCCACTCTCATCTTACTGTCAAACACATTAGGTTGAATATCAATTGAGGAAATTTGACAGGTTGTGGTAACCTGATGTGTGGCTGTCTGTATACAGGTACATTTACAGTCAGTCAGTTCAGTAATCACAATATTTTCAAGAAAATTAGATAATTAGTATCACAAATTTTTTTTTCTTAGTTAAATTATATGCTTATATTTTTGTCTTAATTATATCGTAGGTACTAGGTACTATAAAGGAAAATGTCAAATTATTTTAAAACAAAAATAAAAATATTTTCCCGACAGTTAACTAACAGTTAGTTATTAACAAAAAACATGGAAAAATCTTATGAAAAAAACTAAAATAAACTTCTTATAATTTAACAAAAATAATATTATTTTCTTTTTGAAATTGATGTTAAATAAAACATAAAATAACAAAATATTGTTAAAATACTTTAAAAATAAATAATTATGGAATACTGTTGAGAAATAAAATTTGGTCAATCTTTTTTGGTGCTAGACGGTTTCTTCTATCATTGCACAAAATCCCAGCTTTTGAAAATAAGCGTTCTGAAGGGACTGACGATGCTGGTATACAAAGATACTTTTGGGCAATTTCGGACAACCGCGGAAATAAATATTTTTTGTCATTCCAAAACTGAAGTGGATCGCATTTTCTGTCAAGATATGGTAATTCAATATATTGTTTAACCATCATAGCTGCAGAAGTGTATGGAGTTTGGTGACCACTGCTCTCCATGAGTTTTTTATCTATAACCCCCCAAATGTCGTCTTTATCCAAAGCAGCAACAATTGAAGTACTTGGGCAGCTTGGGCTATTTGGGCTAGATGAAGGTTGGACTTTATCTGTGCTCATGTTTGATAACTCATTGATTACCCACATTTGCGCATTATTTGCATTACTTTCTGACCAAAAACCTTTTTTTTTAAAGCGANGTATTTTCTAAAACGCACTGTTAAGACAGCAGGTAAAAGTTGGTCTGTGTTCTGTCGGAGCTGTCTGCGTCGCGCTGATGAGATCCAAAAAGATCGAAATCGCGATCCACGTCTGGCAGTTTCGACAGAACACAGACCACTTCGAATTATTTTATGCATATAATTGTAGCTCGGAGTGTCAATAGATGTGAAAACCAGATTGATGTTGATAATTTTTATTCAAACATTGTGAAATTTGAAATTTTAATACTAAAAGTTCTAAGTTTTTACTTCTATCGGCAGCCCCCATAACTGCCATGTTTTTTACTAGTCTTTACACTTAGGGACACCTCTGCAAGATTTTCTGAATCCTAAAGGAGAAAAAATGTTTCATCAAGGACGGCTGGGCTATCTCTTGTTTACCTTTCTATGATTTATAAATACTTTTAACTTTAAACATCTATTGTTACAGTGAACTGTCTCGTTGGTGACAGAAATAAGTACACCCCAGTGGCACTAAAATATTTTACGAAACAGGTGAAAGCGTGTGCCTTTCTTAACCAGACAGCTACCACAGTTGCGGAAAAGTTTGTCAAGCATAAAATCAGACGATTCAGTGTATCAATGGAGCTTCATTCTGCTCAGACCTAAAACTTTGTATGAGGAAATCGATATACAGTTCAATAAACTAATTCAGTAATACAATGTTAATTATTAGTGTAGGTCATAACCTGTTTTTTTGTGATAGTCTAATATTAATATAACTCTCTATTAATAATAAAAAGTGAAAAAAGATAAATATTTAAATAATCATTTAAACTAATAGAAAGAGATGGTCAAGAACATTCGAAGCGCAGCAATCAACAACAAGACGCTGCCAGATATGATGGAAACAAATAAAGGGGATAAACAAGGAGCAAACTGCTCCGATATGAAATGAATTCTCAGCAAAATTGCGAAGCTGGACATGCTGGATAGCCTGAACAGAGACATCTTCGAGNAGAAATATTTAAATAATCATTTAAACTAATAGAAAGAGATGGTTAAGAACACTCGGAGCGCAGCAATCAACAACAGGACGCTGCCAGATATGATGGAAACAAATAAATGGGATAAACAGGGAGCAAACTGCTCCGATATGAAATTAATTCTCAGCAAACTTGCGAAGCTGGACATGCTGGATAGCCTGAACAGAGACATCGCCGAGGTTAAGAAAGCAGTGCAGGAACTACAAACCACTAAAGATGATTTCAATGGCCATGTCCTAATCTGTGAAAAAGAAAATGAGTTGCTTAGGGATAGACTACAGAAATTGGAGCCCAAGGAGAACCGGAGAGAGAAGAACGAGAAGCGACGGAACTATGTTATTAGAGGCTTGGAAAACGCAGAAGACTTTGATGCAGTGAAAGAGTTTTTATCAACTCGCCTGGATGTTGAGGATCAAATCGAGGATATAACTCCAATCAAAACAGAAGGTGCAGTTGTTCTATTGATAGTTAAAATGGCAACCGTAGTAGGAAAGCACAACGTAATGACGGCTAAAAGAACCAAACTTCAGGGCTCGTGTATATTTATAAATCATGACTTAACGGACAACGAACAGAAAGAAAGAAATAAAGTCCAGGAGAAAATCCGAAATCTGGCAAGAGAAGAGGAAGCTAAAGGGAAAGAAGTGCGAATTCATTTTAGGGGACTGACAATTGATAATGCAAGATACGTTTGGGATGACCGAAAGGAGCAGCTGCAGCCCTTTCGAGTCAAGCAACGAGAGCAATCGGGTAGAGTTAGAAGCCCCGACATTGCTTTACCAAGACACTAGTCTTCCTACTACGGTAACTAATCAGCAGTCTCAAAACAAACACCCCCATAAGCACTCTGCGTATGATCTGGCTCAAAACAACCAACAAAGCAACCAGCCTGCACAACAAAATATAGCTAACGTGGTGTTTTGGAACGTGAGAGGCCTTGGCAACATATTTGACATTACAGGAGTATATTGAAGTTTTAAAGAACAGTGTATTAATAGGACTTACAGAAACTTGGCATACAACGGCATCGATTAGTCTACCATACTTCGTGAAGCATATGGATGTTGCGTCAGTCCCTGCAGTGAGAGAGAAAGCCATGGGCTGGGCTAGTGGCGGCCTCTGCTTCCTATGTAACAACAAAAAAGTAAATAGCTATAGGGAACTAAGCTCCAACGATACGTGGATGGCTGGCTCTTTCCTGCTTGACTCCAGGCGAGTTACTATCTTTCAGTTGTATTTAAAAGACCACCACTACGCGTCAAGACTTGAAATGTTAGCTGAGGAGATTGAAACCCTACTGGAAAGTAACCGTGGTGACGTAGTAATCGTGGGAGGAGATTTTAATGCCAGAATTGGAGCACGTAACCAGTTAGACGTGGAAACCGTAGAAAACACTGTGCTAACTGCAAATCGTGGGGCCCTAGACAGCTTAGTAAACAAAAAAGGTGAACTGGTGCTCGAAACTTTTGAAAACCTGGGTTTTGTTATGTTGAATGGTAGGACGCCATCGGATCCTGAAGGTTGTGCTACGTTCGTAGCTGGACGTGGGTCCACTACCATAGACCATGTCTGGGTAAATCTCGAAGGGCTGGCCTTTATTGCTGATTTAAAAATAGTCAGCGCTGGGACCTCGGACCATTCACCATTAATACTTAGCCTTTTCCTGCCTGTCCTGAAGAAGACAGAGTCCGATCAGCCAACCTCTGAAAAATTACGGTGGAAAGAGGATGCTGCGGAATATTATCACGAGTTCTGAAGCGCTCGAGCCTGTCTCCGACACTAATGAAGATGTAACAACAAGAGCGGCAAGATTCACTGCGGCTATCCAAATGGCTGCAAAGGAGGCTGGCATGGTTAAACAAGTACATTTTAACCCTGAGCTGTGCATAAAAAGGACAAATGGTTTACTCAAGATTGCTGGACTCAAAGATGTGTCGTGAAACAAACCGAGAGATTATGGAGCAGGCGGAAAGATGTAACATCAAAAGACGTATACATTAAGGGAAGAAATGACTACATAGCTATGATCCGAAGAAGTAAGAAAGAGCTACTCAAGAGGCAGCGGAAGGAACTAGTCGAAGCCAGGGATATGAGAACATTCTGGCGTGTCGTCAACGAGTACAGGAGGCCAAAAAAACATAAATGCCCTATCCCGGATCACAAATGGCAAGAATTTTACTCCAACATAATGCCAAACCAAGTGCAGTCACCTATACTATTTTTGGACGCCAGACACTCAGTACTTGATGGCGACATAATGGTAGATGAGGTATGGCAAGCGATTAACCGAGCTAAGTCGAAGAAGAGCCCCGGACCGGACGGATTGAACATCAATTTTTATAAGGCTCTTCCAAGTAGTCATATCAATGAACTCACAGCATTAATGAACTTGATATTCAGCTTGGGGACAATACCGGAAGACTGGACAAGGGCAGAAGTAGTAATGCTCCATAAAAAAGGTGACCTAAACGATCCGCTTAACTATCGAGGCATCGCTCTGGCTAACGCCAATGCCAAAATATTCACCGCTGTACTGGCAAGGAGGCTGTCTTTATGGTGCGAGGATGTAGATCTACTACCGGAGGGACAGGCTGGTTTCCGACAGCACAGATCTTGTGAGGATAATATCTTTGTTTTGAGCACAAAAATAACCACAGCACTATGCAAGGAGAGGGGAAAACTATATGCTTCATTTATTGACTTTCGTCGGGCGTTTGGCTCGGTGGTCCACGCAATCTGTGGTCTAAATTATACCAGGCTGGAATTAGTGCAAAAATAATCAGAGTGCTCCAAGATTTACATAATAAAGCATCAGTGAGAATTAGGCTAGACGAAATACATCGAACCGAAGAGATCAATGTGACGGAGGGAGTCCTGCAGGAAGACCCACTGAGCCCACTTCTCTTCATTATATTTCTCCACGACTTATGGACTTTTTTATAAAGGAAGGACATTACAATGCGATTAAAGACATGGACATTCTACTATTTGCAGACGACTTAACGTTGATGTCAAAAGATATCGTCGAAATGCAACATATGCTAGACACGCTCGAAAAGTACTGTGAATTGAATAAATTAACAGTCAACGTTCAAAAGACTAAGGTTATGATGTTCCGCAGGGCGGCAGAATTCCAAAGCAGAGAAGGCTCAAGTATAAAGGTCAGCCTCTAGAACTAGTGAAGAATTTTGTGTACTTGGGTGTTCAGTTTGCTTCCTCAGGCCTGTTCACAGCTACTGTCCAATATTTCCAAGCTCGGGATAGAATGTCTTTGAGCGCCGTTTGGAGAACATTACTTTCCAGTAAAATGTCTGATTGGTCCCAACGTATCCTGCTTTTTAACGCCATTATAGCAGTAGCTCTCCTTTATGGTGCTGGCATCTGGGGTCTGAATCACACCACGGAGCTAGACAAAATCTGGCGAACTTTCTTAAGAAGGGTGCTCTTTTTACCACAGTGGACCCCGAACTATGCTTTGCGGCTGGAGACAGGAAGTACTACACTGGAGGGCATGATCGTGAAGAGAGCCGCTTACTTTCTGGGCCAGAGTTCTTGACATGGAACCATCTCTACCCTAAGATATGTTTACAACGCCTAAAGGCATTGCATGAAGAACCTACTAATATACCTAGTCGCAACTGGGCCACGAAAATGAGGGAAATATTTATTAAAACAAACTCTGAAGGACTTTGGAATGTGTTGAATGGCGACCCAGTTAGAGCAGAAACAGGCGCGATTTTTGAGAAAATTGAGAGTGAGCAATACGAGTCTGATATCGCAAGAATAATGAGATCAATGTTTATTGCCCAGTACAAAATGCTCGATAGACCTGGAAGAAACGACAGAGCAAATTACCTAAAGTGGGAATTACCTCTGCAACAACAGAGAGTCATCGCCCAGTTGAGACTTGCAGGGGGTGATCATGTGATTATTAAAGCTATGGGCAACAAATACTGTATAGATACTAGTCAAATGTGTTTATTGTGCAATCAAGATGCCAAAGAAACACTGGAACACTTCCTGTGTATATGCCCAATTTATCAAGAAATTCGACAGCGGTATTTAATGTGCCACTTTCCAGAAATACTGAATCCTACTGATAGACAGGAGGCCTTTAACTTATACAACTACATAACAAATAGCTTAAAGCTACGATCCTTCGTGCTGGCTGAATAGACTCGTGCTAACTAGTGATGGGCATAACGATTCTTATTCGATAACGTTGCAAATTGGAACTTTGAATAAAAATAACGTTATTAAATAACGTTATTAAATAACGTTATTTTGAAACAAATCAAAACGGCTTTTTCGATTATTTTCAAATTATAATTAAGTTGGGGTAATAAAAACAACATAAAATTTAAAATAAAACACATTTTATAAATATATGATAGATTCATTTAAACATAAATGATTATCGATGGTCGATCCGTTCCGTTCATCTGTTCTGTTGTGTTGCAGCGCTTGCCACTTTACGTTCCTCAGTAACGAGTTATACGATAAATAGTAACGTTCCGTAACGTTGCAACAAAATAACGTTCCAAAATAACGTTAACGGAATAACGACCCATCACTAGT